AATTAAATTCAGTGAGTGGTTCGCGTTAAAACACACCTTATAGCGTTTAGAGGATCGGCAAAGAAATAAAACATATCTTATCTATAAAGCATTATTTTTAGAACTTAGTATCTAGCACAAAGTACCTACACATTGCTTGCGATGAAAAAAAAACTAAAAAAGATTAAAAATTAAAATGGCGAAGTTGAAATTAGCATGCGCGAGAGGTGATAGAGAGAGAGGCATGTATTTTTAAATAAATAAACGTATCAATGGCTTTGAAAAAATCGACGATGCCGTGTAAGACACGGTAGCTCAATTGGTTAGAGTAACAGCACAGAACGCTGTGGATGCCGGTTCCATTCCTGCCATATATATCCAACAAACCGGACGCATTCATTTCCTAACTAACTTTAGTATAACGTTCCATAGATGGCGCTAACGTCGCATTTACTTGACATAAGTTAAGTCTATTGTCTTTATTTTTGAAGCGTCGTTCTGTACAGCTGCTACAAGGCATCCTTAACGTTAGCCCGTAAAATTAATTGTAAATAAGTTAACAATATTTCACGTTTTGAATCGATAATCGTGTTTTATTTCAATGTGTGCCCGCGTAAACTACAGATAATATTGTAGGGTTATAAACAAATGTATTTACTCTTTTAAAGGCCATTTTTAATGTCGAATTACTTCTAAGTTTTTTTGTATTATAATATTTAACACGTGTGTAGTAATTTAAAAATACGTAATTGTGTTATAAAAACACACACATCTTAAGTTGTATAATTTTTGCTAGCTTTGTACCATAAACGGGTTTAAAAAAAATATTCCTTAAAAAATGTGAAGATCTGTGTCTCGTAGGTGACAAATACTTAAACTTCTGTGCCCAGCGTTACCGAATAAAAATATTGCACTTGAACCTTTCGCATTTAACGCAATGCATTGCCGTTAATGACTAAACTACATTTTTTTTTTGTAAATAATGTAAAATTAATAGTAAAATTTATAAATAAATAATGGAGTGGCTTCGGTAATGAAAATTGAAATATCACTCTTATCTATAGTAATATATAATTATGAGTTTGTTTGTTTGTTTGAACGAGCTAATTTTAGATATTTTTGTGTTCGTTAGAGCATTTATCGTGGAAACATCGCGCTGTGACGAAATATGAAAAAAAAAACGGAGAAATTTATTAAACTTTAGGGTTTCCGATGTGTACGCTTTGAAAACGGTTCCAAATACCCAAACAATATCTATGAAATAATTATTCCTCTTTAAATCATGTAAAAAAATGTCAGGGACAGTATATATATTATGTCTTTCTTTTATGGTTAACTTGCACGAACGACGGGACGCCACCGACGATGAGAAGATTTTCAAAAACAAATTTTGACACAAAATAACAGACGAAGTCGCTGGCACAGCTAGGTAACACTAGATCTATTACAAGCTTACACAACCAACATTACACTTATAACTTTCATCGACATAAACCTATCGACACGCGAACAACATTAGCTCATAGACGAACCGGTTTCCTTTGATTTCACTTTCCTAACAAATTATTAAATACGCGATCACGACACGTAACAATGACGTAAGGAATGGTTGAACCACTTTTTAGTATTCATTAAGACAACTTCTCCGTGGAAATTATTATTTAACTAGCTGAGTCAGCGACTTCGTCCGCGTAGAATAGTCATTTGGGTATGGGTTCGAGGAAGGCTTTAGGCCATTAAACATGCGTTCAATAGAAGCGAAGAAACAGCGGGAAATGTGGAACCAAAATAAAAAGTTTGCAAAACCAAATATTGATGGCCAAAAAAACTTCGCCGACACGTTACAAAAACATTTGAATAACATTTAAGTGTTAATTAAAAATGAAATAAAGTTGGATTTATCTTATTAAAATTTGTGAGTGTGAGATTTTCACTACAATTATTTGTAGTTTTTGCGCCTTAAGGTCTTCAAGGCTAGGTACCAGGAAAAGTCATCAGAAGTCAACCAATGACATTATTTTACGTCCTTTATTGTTTTATTGGACAGAAACGCTTTTGCGTAATATGGCTAGACCAATCGTACAAAGGCAATGGGACAAAAGAGGCAACGGTTGCAAAGGGGGCACATGGGGCAAATGGGGCAAAGGGGGCAAATGGGGTTAAATGGAGAAATTGCCCCAGCTTGGAGCACTGCAGTATGAGCGAGAGCTTAAGAGCTAGGCTAATCGTTCCGCGATACAAGGGACTGTTCAGTCAAAATTTTAAATTTAAGTAAAGTAACTTTAACCTATAAATCTTTCATGTGAGCCGTTAAAATTAAGAGCTTAGACCCACCACGCTGCTCCCACGCGGGTTAGTGGGCTCTAACGACTAGCACCACTATATGAGTGATGATCGGACTAGCCTTACTAGACGTCCAGATAAAGTACAGGCGCGAGTGTACGCGAGTAGTACACATTTAAATAAAACGCTTTAACGGTTTAAAACGCGGTATATTTTAGTTAAACTTGTTTAAAAATTATTTTCAACTTCGGCCTGACGTTTCGAATGCTTTACAGTAGCCATGGTCACGGGGAGATGATCTATCCGAAGCGTCAGGCCGTAGTTAAAATAATTTTCAAATAAGTTAAACTAATATAAGTATATCGCGTTTTAAACCGTTAAAGCGTTTTATTTAAACAATGTTTACCTTTCCAACTCTTATGTTAGTTTTTCGCCTACTTGCTGTGTATACCCACGTAATTGGTTTTTACTATTTCTTTTCTCCCGTACTTCAGGTTGCCTGGAAGAGATAGCTGCTTAGTGATAGTTAGTTCAAGACACCAAAAAAAAATGTAAAGAGGAATGATTCCTCTTAAAATTATCTAAAAAATGTTCCAGACACTATATGTCTATCTTTTAAGATTAACTTGCAAGATCGACGGGTCGCGAGCGATGTCGTGGGAAGCTTAGGTCTATAAAGACGTAGAAGTTTTCAAAAACAAATTTGGATGCCCAAAACAACTATTCTCGCGGACGAAGTCGCTGGCACAGCTAGTATTTAATAAAACACCCAAATCTTTTGACGAATTTATTTATAAATACTTAAATATAATTTACAAGTTAATGTACAGTGCTAGTCAATCTCTTACCAACTTTGGCGTGTTACATACCTAATTCTTAGACTTAAAAAAAACGCAAAACAATATCAATTTATAACAACACTTTAAAGGTATAATAAAACACTTTAACTGATTAAAACGCGAATTTATCAAGCGATTACGGTAATTCTAAAATTGTATTATAAAATAAAGCCGCGTTTGAAATAATTCAATCAAATTTAAGGCCGCTAGAGGCAAAGTAGCCTAACTGCAATTTGACTTGACTTATTTATATTTTCACAGTCTAAAAATGTTAATCTACAAGATTACTACAGTGACTAACAATTGTTAATATAATTGTTACACAAATAATAGTACAAAATCATTTTCGCCTAAGTTAATTGCGCGTTTTTATTTTCCTCCTTATTGAAAACCATGTTTTTGTTATTAGGCCACTCTGCCTCTGGCGGCCTCGATTGTGATAAAAAAATGTGTTCTCAGTTTTAGGGTTATGGAAGCAAAATCCCAAAAACCCTTTGACCTGACCATTTGGTCCCTCCAAGGATTTGGGAGATGATCAGAGTGTCAAGAAAGCGTATATCGGAATCCCAACTAACCCAGCCCACCGACAGGTCCGCAGTCGGCCAAGATATCGCTGGAAGGACGCCGTGGAAGACCTGCGCGAGCTCGGTGCGGCCGAATGGCGAACAGCGCAAGATCGGCGAAAATGGCGCTCATTAGTTTCGGAGGCCAAGTCTCACTTTAGGTCGCTGCGCCAGCGCAGTAAGTATGTATTAAGTGCATGTTAAAGAAATTTAATAAACTACATTGCTATTAAAAGTTATTAGGCGTATTTTTTAAATAAGAATAGTGTTATTATAACTCCTTAAACAGTAATCATTACAATTGTAATTAAATAAATATCAAGTGTTTAGTTCTGTTTATCGAATCTATTTGCCGAACATCCAGTTTACATACAGTCGGTGTGGGCTTGATTCTTTGGTCTAATGGTAGCTGTATATGTAAATCAACGGGTCGTGGGTTGGAATCCAATGTAACCAGTATAATTTGTTTCTAAAACACATTGGACGTGTGGAAAATCTGGATGTCAATTAAAATTACGTCTGAGTCACGTACCATCGTGCAGATGGAAGGGCTATGTTTAATCGTGTTTCGGCTTCAGTCTGTGGATGTCCGAATATCCAATGCCAAAATAGGTCGGCATCACAACTTCGATTTCTGGCTGGGGTATTTCACCTTCCTTCAGGTAAACTCCATGTTTGTCTGTTCTCTTCTGACATTTTCCCATAAAAGCTTATGTATGATTCCGGGAGTCGAAGTCACGACAATCAGCAGCAGAGGTCTACTAACTGTTTGTGATCATGGAATTTCTCAATTCATCAACCACTGTCAGTCGTGTATTCGATTCCCACTTGTGTCATCAATCTTTTAGTCTAGAGAGTTTACATTATTATTGAAATTAAGAATCTTAAATACTGTCTATAGTTTACGCGAGTAGTACACATTTAAATAAAACACTTTAACGGTTTAAAACTCGATATATTAGTTAAACTTATTTGAAAATGATTTTTAACTTCGGCCCGTCGTTTCGGTCTTCCCGTGACCACGGCTGCTGAAAAGCATCCGAAACGTCGGGCCGAAGTTAAAAATCATTTTCAAATAAGTTTAACTAATATATCGCGTTTTAAACCGTTAAAGTGTTTTATTTAAATTAAGAATCTTGTCTTTTCAAATTCGAAATTAGAAAGTTTAATATTTTCGAACATAAAATTTATGACACGAGCGGGCCTCGAACCGGCATCCACAGCGTTGCTGCTGCTCTAACAAATATTTAAATTAGGACACGGTAGCTTTTAAATCCCGCCCATATTTTTTGCGCTTAGAAACATCTAGAACGTGAATCCTTACAACTACCCTAATCTACATGATATCCTCTCCTTCAGGCCTGTGCCTCTGCAGGACGGCCAGCCTCTGCTGCGTCACTTCTAAATGGTGTTTCCGCCATTTTATACGACGGTTCTGGAACCACACTTTCACCTGGAACAAATGGAATCGAATAACACATTAAAGTCGGGGGTTAGGGCATAAAAGTTTGATCACACACCTCCTTGTAAGCTAAATCCATACACAGATTACAGTATTTAGTTTTATAGTAGTACACATTTAAATAAAACACTTTTAACGGTGTAAAAGGCAAAATATAGTAGTTAACTTAATGTTTATTTGGTTTAGCTACGGCCTGACGTTTCGGATGCTTTGCAGCAGCCGTAGTTGCTTGTTTATGAAATTAATAAGTAAATTATAATAAAATTAAGTACTATATTTCGCGTTTTAAACCGTTTCTTGTGTTTTTTTATTACTGATTAGACTTATATATACCTTTATATATATATATATATATATATATATATATATATATATATATATATATATTGCCTTTCTTATAGAAACTTATTATTATTTCTCCAGAACTCGAACCCCGAACATGGCTCGGCAAAGTTGTAATGCTTAGATATTAATGTTTAGATGTTCAGTGTTTACTGCATTCGTTAAGATGCATTAAAATCAATTTTCTCTTTATATATAACATACAAACATTTACGCGGAACCCTAAAAACCATCTCTACAATAAGTCCTATCATTGTTTGTGTCAATGTTTTTAAACGAAACTTGGAGGGTAGTTGCATATTTTAAACTCTTACCTGAGCTTCAGTGAGCTGCAAAGCATGAGCTAAATAGAGCCTCTCGGGGCCGACCATGTACTGCTGCCTCTCGAATTCGGCTTCAAGCCGTTCCAGCTGTTCCGGTGTGAAGATTGTTCGTATTCGCTTACTTCTTCCAGCTCTAAAATTATTTGTAATTTATATAGTATGTAATTTACAGTATCTAAAACTGTCTAAAAAAAGTAGGTGCTACAAATATAGACATTGATGTTTTTTTTTCGAAAATATTAACCAAAGTTTTATTTTAGATTTATTGTATATACATGTTAAATACAAAAAAAAAACAATTTAAATCTATATTGTGAATTGGAAAATTCGACTACGTTTGGAAATCTGGATATTAAAAGGGAGGTAGGAATTAATCGTGTTCCGGTTTCCGGTGGTATGTTATTTCACCTTCCATCAAGTGGGGTAACACCATCGGAGTTCATATTGAATAGATCTTACCCATTAGAACAGGATATGGAGTGTGACCTGGAACTCTTCAATTGAGCCTGCGGCCTGAGCTCAGATCTTGGGGTATCTATAACAAAATAAGGTATTCAAAAAGAGAACAATCGAAGATCATACCGATTTGTGCTAGTAATGAGGCCGATAGAGGCAGAGTAGCCTAACTGCAATTTTAGACTTTAATTTATATTAAAATAAAATGCTTCAACGGTTTAAAACGCGATATATAATAAAAATTATTTTAACTACGGGCCGACGCTTTCAATGCTTTGCAGCCTTTCAGCTTTTCACGTAATACCCGATTACCGCCATGAAACAAAAAAACAAACAAACCATTTCGCTTTATAATTTAGAAAATATGTAAAATGTTGTTGCAAAAACCAATTTATACATACACTTAAATTGTACTTAATTCCAATATTAGGTAATTTATAATCTTTCTGAGAATGACATATTTTTTAAATAAAACACTTTAACGGTTTAAAACGCGATATATTAGTTAAACTTATTTGAAAATGATTTTTAACTTCGGCCCGACGTTTCGGATGCTTTGCAGCAGCCGTGGTCACGGGGAGACTAAAGATGGAGGATGTCTCTGACGTCAAAGTGGGTCCTTACAGAATTGACTAACGTTAGTCAATTCTGTAAGGACCCGGCCAGTTTCGCCAAATACCAACTTCGACGGAACAGATGGCGCTACCGTAGCAATTTTTTACTTTGACGTCAGAGACATCCTCCATCTTTAGTCTCCCCGTGACCACGGCTGCTGCAAAGCATCCGAAATGTCGGGCCGAAGTTAAAAATCATTTTCAAATAAGTTTAACTAATATATCGCGTTTTAAACCGTTAAAGTGTTTTATTTAAATGTGTACTACTCGCGTAAACTATAGACAGTTATATTTTATTAAACCACTCGTTAACATTCATGTCGTAATCTATACAAATATAAAAATTTGAAGAGTTTGTATGTTTGTTTGAACGCGCTAATCTCAGGAACTACTAAAATATTTTTGTGTTGGTTAGAGCATTTATATGGCTATGACTAACAAGAGCGAAGGTCTAACGGGAAACGTCGTGAAAATGAAAAACTATTCATCTCTGTGGGTTGCCAGTGCGAGAACGGTTCAAGATAAAATATGTATCAAAGAGTGATCTCTCTTGAAATGATTTAAAAAACTCTCCGACAGTATACGCCTCTCTTGTAAGATTAGCAAGACGTAGACAACGCGGACGTGGGTGACAGCTCAAATGTATCGAGTTGGCCAGAAGATTTACAAAACCAAAAATTGATACCCAAACATCTATTTTACGTGTACGAAATCGCGGACTCCGCTAGTATTTATTCTTTTTAGTAATTAAATTGAAGATTTTTTAAGATCTTAACTATTCTCGGTAACCATTTGATGCTAGGCATCTGTTTTAAAACTGTGCCCAAGCTTAATAGAGCAATTATTCGTTACCGATTGCTAATTAGGCAATTTATAAATACCTATAAACATTTATCAAGTATGTAGTAATTTAAAAATCGAAAATAAATTTAAAAATATTTCGACTCGGGCAGGACTCGAACCGGCATCGTCAGCGTTCCGTGCTGTTGCTCTATTGCCAATTGAGAGCAACAGCACGGAACGCTGACGATGCCGGTTCGAGTCCTGCCCGAGTCGAAATTTTTTTTAAATTTATTTTCGATTTTAAAATTATATAGTGCCCTCATGTGCAATAACATGTGAAAAATAATAAAGTTTTCAAAAGTATATAGTAAATTATCTAAACATGTTTTTTTTTAAGTTGTGTTACTTTAGTCTAAACCATATTAAACGACATCGGTCGATCGGGTCCCGTCGTTCGCGACCGGTCGATCGGGTCCCGTCGTTCGCGACCGGTCGATCGGGTCCCGTCGTTCTTGCAAGTTAATCTTCAAAGACATAATATAGTGTCGCGTATATTTTTTCAGACCATTTAAAGAGTCTTACATACATATTTTTTGGGTGTCTTGAACCGTTTAAATAAAACACTTTAACGGTTTAAAACGCGATATATTAGTTAAACTTATTTGAAAATGATTTTTACGATTTTTTATTTTTTCTACCACGGCTGCTGCAAAGCATCCGAAACGTCGGGCCGAAGTAAAAAATCATTTTTCAATAAGTTTAACTAATATATCGCGTTTTAAACCGTTAAAGTGTTTTATTTAAATGTGTACTACTCGCGTAAACTATAGACAGTGTCTTGAACCGTTTTCGCTGCGTTCCGTTTTGTTCACATTTCTCACTGTATCTTTGCTTCATTTAGTCACAGCGCGATAGTCTATAGCCTTTCTCCATAAATACTCTAACCAACACATGAAGAATTTTTCAATTCAATCACGCATTTCCTGAGATTAGCGCGCTCAAACAAACAAAGCTATAAAACAGCACCAATAGGAGAGAAGAAAAAAAGGGAAATGTGGAAAAAAGAGGGAAAACTATTCAAATTAAAATTCGCAATTAACTTACGCGAAAATGAATTTGTACTATTATTTCTGTAAGAATATTGTTATATAGTCTATGAAAATATATGAGTCAAGTCATAAAATTACAGTTAGGCCACTCTGCCTCTGACAGCCTCCTGTAATGCCTGTCTAGACCTCTAGTTTACACAGTCTGGTTTCCAATCAACTATTAATGGTACAAATTTAATTGTTATTTGGAATTCCAATAAAGAAAAATCTAATATAAAATGACACGGATATTATGGGGGACATTTCGACGGCGGAACTAATACGATTGTCTCCCGCGTTTATTTGCGATTGGCAACACTTTTGATCTGTCATGCGTGCTGACTGGGGTTCTGTTTTAGTTGTCAAAAAATACAATTAATGCTGGTGAGTAAATACTGGAATATTAACGTTGCGGATTGATATTTTGCAATTTCTTTATTTATTTGGTATTCTTAATAGCTAAATCTATACTAATATATAAAGTTGAAGAGTTTGAACCCGCTAAGGGACCGTTCAAGTATTACGTAAGCACTATAGGGGGGGGGGGGGGGTCTTTGTTTTGCTTATTTTTGATGACATGGGGGGTAGGGGAGTCCAGATGATGATTACGTCATCGATATTTATTTACTTTCTGAATCAACTTTCTTATTTTTAAAATTATAATATAAAAAATACATTTTTAATTGAAAAATGTTTACGTAAGCACGGGGGAGGGGGTCAAAGCTTTGCTTACTTTTGCTGACAAGGGGGATGGGGGGGGTAAATAATTGTAATAAATCTGCTTACGTAATACTTGAACGGCCCCTAATCTCAGTTTGAATTGAAAAATTACTTTTATGTTGGTTAGAACAGTTATCGAGGAAGGCTTTAGGCTATAGAATCGTCGCGCTGTGACTAATAGAAGTGAAGAAACAGCGGGAAATGTGAACAAAACGGGGGAAATTTTTCATCTCTGTGGGTTTCAGATGCGTACGCTGCGAGGACTGCTCAAGACAACCAAAACATATGTATGTACTATGTAAGAATAATTTATCGACGGTACACGACCGATGTCGTGGGCAGCTTAAATTTATAAAGATGTAGAGGTTCGCAAAAATAAATTTGGATGCCAAAAAGATATTCTACGCGGACAAAGTCGCTTACACAGCTAGTAATACATACATACCTTAAACATAAGCTAATAAAGAATTAATTACACAATTCAGTAAAAAAAATAAAATAAAATGTGAAAAATATTAAAGTTATCACAACTTTAATATTTTTCACATTTCATTGCACATGATGGCACTACGTGAATTAAAAAAGCGAATGATCGATTTTTAATTTCAAATTTTTTAAACTTAATTTAAAAAAATTAAGTTCAGTGCACGAATTGAACCGGCCCACGGCGTTCCGTGCTCTTGCTCTAACCAACTGTGCTTCGTTATAAATTCGTGTGGCGCTTTGAAAGATTATTAAAATTAATTTTAAAGTCTCTGAAAATTAGACCGATCCTCTATTGTTTAGTTTATTTAACTTAACATTTTTAAATTTAAATTTTTATAATTGATATATAGAATCGTATTTATGGCTGTAAGTTGTAGGACTCTACCAGCTCGGAATACAAACTATATCTTCATATTAATAAACTAGCTGTGCCAGCGGCTGCGTACGCGTAGCAATCTTCTATTGAAATAAAACACTTTAACGGTTTAAAACGCGATATATTACTTAAACTTATTTGAAAATGATTTTTAACTTCGGCCCGACGTTTTGGATACTTTGCAGCAGCCGTGGTCGCGGGGAGACTCTCTGAGCGGGATGCTCTAAAGTCTAACCGACACAAAAATATAATTTTCATTTCGAACCATTAGTTCCTGAGAGTGCCGTTCAAACAAGCAAACCGAATAACGAAGAACAAATAGAAGTGATTTTGTCATTTTATTAATGAACTACTGGTCAACGTGATGTTATGTCAAAAGAAGGCTAGATCCTTCATCGAGAAATGTTCTACCCAACGCAAAATTATTTTTTCAATTCGATCCAGTAGTTCCCGAGATAAGCGTGTCAAACAAACAAACTGTTTAGCTTTGATATTAGAATAGGTATGCAGAATGTTGTATAGCAAATGTGTTCATAATAGGTATATTGCAGACGTTTGATGTATAACAACATATTGATAACTAAAGTTTTACTTTTATTTAAACATATTGATAATATAAAATAGAGAAAAAAGAAATCGACAAATTATAATAACTATTATGTACGTAGTTATTTTGTGGCAAGTAATCTAATCAAGTTCACATTAATTGTAGCTAATCTTTGCATTGCTCATTAAAAAATTACCTTTTATTTTTAATTCAAGCTATAAATTGAAGAAATTAATAAATATATAATGTAACTTAATTTTAATTTTTATTAACTACGGCCAGCGTTTCCTACACTTTGCGACGATGGACGCAGAGGAACCGAAACGTCGGGCCGTTTGAAGAAAGTAAGAAAGAAGTATGTTAATTTATATATTTTGAGTTTTAAATTGTTAAGCGTGTTTTATTTAAATGTGTGCTACAGACAAAACTTTTTTGTTGCGCTTTTAATATGTTTATTGCAAGGCTATTTATAAATAAATTACTTAAGTAAGTTTTAAATATAGAAATAAACGAAACAAAACGTCGGGTCGTAGTAAAAAACAATTTTTAAACAAGTTTAACATATAATGCATTTAAACCGTTAATTGTTAATTATACGAATTTGCATCAAATGAGACAAACGAAGTGTTAACAACATGCACAACATTTTTTGTGGTCACACAAGATCCTTTAAATAGAAGGACAACCTACCTTGCCGTAGCGCCGACGGGACTGCGACCCTGCAAAATCCATCATTAATCCGCTGCACGTCGTGCCCCGAGTACAGGTAACTCTGCAAATGCTTCTGGTTCTGATGCAGCCTCTCTTGAACGCTCAAATTCATCACATCCTCCTCGGACTTAGTCAGGCCGAGGATCGCGGCTATCGTGAAGGATTTCCCGCCCAAGCTGGTGTTCTTCCCGCTCAGATCCACCCCGAACGGCGACGAACAGTCCTCCTCCTCCAGGGAAACCGACGTGGACCGGTCGTTCTCATACTTCTCCAGTCTCTCACCTCCCAGGTGCTCGTACTCGTTCAGCCGCTCCAGGTTCTGCTGGTACAGCAGGTCGGTCAGATTCGGAAACTGGCGGTCCATTTTATAACATAATTACACATAGTCAGGTGAGGTCTATTAAATAATTCACTTCACTCATTGACAGTTTGACGCCGATTGCGGTTATGACGAAGTTAAATGAAGGGAGGCGGGGCCAGACGATCGGTGGAGGAAAAAATGACAGGGCAGGATCTCAATTGAGGGTTGATTGTGCCCCCGGGGGGTGAGACGCCCGATTGGCTGGGGCCGCGCATGCGCCGCTGGGCGGGGCCAGATTTAGTGGGGCGCGCTGTGATTTGCGGTCTGGATATCTTTGATTGAGGCAGGTATGGATTTTGGTGAGATCTCGAATGCGTAAAATTCATTTTTAAATATGAAAAATGTCGTCTTAAAAATGTAAGAATATCGTATGCAATGGTTTGAAAACATTAATATTTTTCACATGTTATTGCACATGAAGGCACTATATAATTTAAAAATCGAAAATAAATGGATGCGAGAGGTGCACGTATCAATAAGTTGAACAAATTCGACGATGAGGTGTAGGACTCGGTAGCGCAATTGGTAGAGCAACAGCACGGAAAGCTGACGATGCCGGTTCAAGTCCTGCCCGAGTCGAAAAATTTTTTCAATTCATTTTCGATTTTTAAATTATATTATCAGGTTTTTTTATGGGGACAGGAAAAACAGGTAGTGGAAAAAGCAAGTTTTGATGGTAGTAGACAGACGAACGTGGGTTTCACTCGATGGAAGGTGAAAGATCCAAGCCATACAATCTCATCTTATACAGATGCGCCGTCGACCTTTTGTGATTTTAGTGATTTGTTAATCCACGGACTTACACCGAAACATTAATATACAGATTTCCAGATGAAGTCCAACGTGTTTCGGAAATATTATAAATTGATTAGGAAACGTTTTTGCGAGTTAACCTTAAATCATTACACATATACCTTTATATACATATTTTTTGGGTATCTTGATCCGTTTTCAAAGATGAACTTTGAATTATTTTAAAGGAACATCTTGGAAAAATTAAAAAATTAAAGAGGAATAAATTTTGTTCGCGTTTTTTCCACATTTCCCGCTGTTTCTTCGCTGCTATTGGTCGCATTCTGATATTTTATAACTAAAGTATTCTTCGTTAAAATCCATTCGAACTTGTTCATGAGGATCACACGTTTAAACTTTCAGATTTATAATATTAGAATAGATTAAGACGACTTAAATTTCACTACGGAAATTCTACTAATTTTTAAAACAAATACACTTTTAATAGTTAAAAAAAGAAAATTGTCTGAAACAACTATAGACAGACACAAAACGGAAAGTTGTCTATAGTTTACGCGATTAGTACACATTTAAATAAAACACTTTAACGGTTTAAAACGCGATATATATTAGTTAAACTATTTGAAAATGATTTTTAACTTCGGCCCGACGTTTCGGATGCTTTGCAGTAGCCGTGGTCATGGGGAGACTAAAGATGGAGGATGTCTCTGACGTCAAAGTAAAAAATTGCTACGCTAGTGCCAAATTATACAAAAAAGAAAACATTCCATTTTAATTTTTAAGCTACAGTGATTTAGTTAAAACGCGATATATTGTAGTTATACTTGATTGAAAATTATTTTTAACTACGGCCCGACGTTTCGTGTTGCTTTGCAGCAGCCGTGGTCACGGCGAGACCACGTCCAAGTGTTTTATTTAATTGTGTACTACTCGTGGAAACTATAGTCAGCTGCAGTAATGTTAATCCGGACCAGGCCGTCTCGTTGGGCGGGCGGGAGCGGAGGGCGGGCGCCATGAGCAGGGAGGCAGGTGGCGCGTCGTTGTTCAAACAATTTAATTTAATAATCTGCCACTTGAGCGAAATATTGGATGAGCACCGTAAATATTACAATATCAATAACACGACTGCTATATATCTGCTTAAACAAATACTATAATATAAATGTTGTTAATGATAGAGGCGTACAGACAAGCAATCACTTGATGGTAGGTGAATACCTCAGCCTATAGCAACAAAATATCCTGGCTTTGGGTAATCGGAAGTCCACAGACTAGAACCGAAGTTTAATTAAACTTCACGGCTTCATCTGTGGATGACGGTTCGGGACCCGGACGGAATTTCCATATTCCTACCACGCTTTAATATTTATCCAGATTTCCAGACGAAGTCCAACGCGTTTCGGAAAAATCATCCATTTATTAGAAAAATGTTGGACCCGATGGGAATCGAATACACGAACGGTTGTGAATACGTCGTATCTCGCTACCATTTTACCAACGAGCGTGTCTACATCATTCCGTCAAATTTCATGCCTCCGAAGCTGAATAATCAAACGCGAGGTACAGGGTTCGAATCCCGAGAAAATTATAATAATTTTGGTCGTTAGACTACAGAAGTCTAGACTTGCTTGTCTGATTATAAATGGGCGCACAATTCCTTCTACCCCATGGCCCAAACAGGAGAAACGAGAATTTACAGTAAGTCTTCCTTTTTGTCTTTATTTTTAAAACGACCATATGGGTGTGATTAGTATGTATGTATCTAATATTGGTTATAAACTAAAGATTTTGTTTGAACGCCTTAATCTCAGGAACTAGTGTTTCGAATTGAATGTTTTTTAGTTGGTTGGACCATTTATCGCGAAAGGCTTTAAAATTCACCAATTGGAGCGAAGAAAAAGCATTAAGAAATCGTGGAACAAACATATGGGATTTTATTTATCTTTGAGGGCTTCTGTTGCCTTCGCTGCGATAATGGTTATATAAAAATACAAATCAAACAATTGTTCTTCTCTAAGGTATACGTCAGTTTTTTAAGATTAAGTAGCAATAGTAGAGGAACGCAGCTGACGTGGTGCAAACTATAATTTATAAAGATGGGGGGGGGGGGAAAAAAAAAAAAAAAAAAAAAAAAAAAACCCCAAATATCCCCCCCGGGCCGCGGGGGGCCCCCCCCCCCCCCCCCCCCCCCCCCAACACAAAAAAAAAAAAAAAAAAAATAAAAAAAAAAAAAAAATAATCGTTTAAAACCCTTTTTTTTTTTTTAAAAAGAAAACCCCCGGGGAAAAAAAAAAAAAAGAAAGGGGGGGGGGAAAAAAAAAAAAAAAAAAAAAAAAAAAAAAAAAAAAAAAACCCCCCCGGGGGGGGGGGCGGCCCCCCCCCAAAAAAATAAAATTAAAAAAAAAAAAAAAAAAAAAAAAACCCAAAAAAAAATAAAAAAAAAACCCCCCCCCCCAAAAAAAAACGGGGGGGGAGAGCCCCCCAAAAACCAAAACAAACAAAAAAACCAGGGAAAAAATTTTTCCAAAAAAAAAAAAAACAAAAAAAAAAAAAAAATTTTAAAAAAATTTTTTTTTCTGAAATAGACATAATATTTATTGCTCAACACAATCCTACATCCTCCGTGTAAAAAAGAATTCGCAATCTTTGACATTTGGGTCTTGGAAAACACCAAGAGAGAAGAAAGTTGATTTAATTAGTCTTTATAACTACAATAGTAAAAAATAGTACTCGTAGTTGACGCGACTGGTACGTAATAAATAAACCAGATTCAACCGTTTGAAACTCGTACGAATAGAATATCAATAGACAAATGAAGCGCAAATCTCGATATGTATTGCTAATTTTTTATATTCCCTGAAAGATGGTTGGTTTTTAAAAACAATTGAACAAAATCTAAAAACATTACTTCCATACAAGCATTTTCCACACATTGTTACAACATTAATTAAGACGGTAAACATTTAAACATATTTTTAAATTTACATAACTAAGCTATAATAATTCGAGATGTGGCTTAAACAGAAGATACACATATATAAGAGAAATGTTATAAATAAAACACTTTAACGGTTTATAACGCGATTTATTAGTTAAACTTATTTGAAAATTATTTTCAACTACGCCCCGACGTTTCGGATGCTTTGCAGCAGCCGGGGTCACGGGGAGAACGTCTCGCCGCCGCCGGGTCGAAGTTAAAAATCATTTTCAAATAAGTTTAACTAATATAACGCGTTTTATACCGTTAAAGTGTTTTATTTAAATGTGTACTACTCGCGTAAACTATAGACAGTATTTGAGATCTTATAAATTAAGCTTTTAAATATGCAAACACCACATCCTATATCCAAAAAAATTATTAAAAAAAAAATTTTATATAGAATAATACGTATAAAGAAAGGCATTTAAACATTTTTGTCCAATACTGTCCGTATTGGACAAAAATGTTGAAACCAAGAACTGGTCACGTGGGGGACTAAAGGACCCCTACGTCAAAAGACGGGTTGTTAAAATTTAAATTAAATTTAATATTTCCCGTTTTACACCGTTAATAATGTTTTATTTTTTATGGGCATGTAAAATTAATATAAATTCATATGCTAGCGCCACCTGTTTGATATTTTGAAAAAGTAGCTGACTACATTTACCGTTTTTTTAGTATCTCTTATTTTTAATATGTCTCCAAAATATGAACGAAAAAAAAGATGGTGGTAGCCTAGCAGATTTTGATTTTCACATTAGGGATATCCTCATTTATTCCCCGTAACCACGGCCGTTGCAAAACATCAGAAACGGTTAATGGATGTTGGATAAATAATTAATAAAATATGTTTCGCATTTTAAACCGTAAAAAGTGATTTTTGTAAGGAGTGATTCATTACATTTAAAAATTATTCCTGTGATTAGCGCGTTTTAACAATCAAACTCATCAGCTTCGTGCTAATAGTATAGATGATAGAGAAGGTCACACAAGAAACGGAATTAATATCGATATTCCAAATAACCATTCACTGTCCCAAAATTCCGACGCAGTGTAACATGTTTCAGAAAAAAATATATTTTTTGAAACATATGGAACCGAATTTCTTTTTAGCCTTTCCTTCATTGCGCCGATGAGAGAAAGAAAGTGTTTTATTCAATACGAAAAATATTGTCCCCGTCAAACGTAGCTCTAAATAAAGTTTCGCTAATATCCATGAAAAGCGGATACAATATTGTGAGGGTGAACAATGTAATGAATCGTTCTGAAGTGGCCACTTTTACAGTCGCGCAAAAAAAGACCGAGCCCCATATCCAATAATTCAGCGGCGGCGTAAGAACATCGCTTCGCCTCATCCCCCCCAGATACCTTCTGGGGGGGGGGGAGGTATTGGCTTTTTCGTTCCCAAAACTTTAATTTCTCAAAGCTGAATAAAGAACTAGTGATTTCGCAAAGTTTACATTCAAACATACAAATGGCAACAATGTACTGGTTGCGAACTTGATGTTATGTTAGATGTTGGCAGTTTAACAGCGTCTTCCAATCATGTGAATTAACTGCTTTTTCGCAGATCCGCTTTTGGGGTATTTGCAG